GGAAACATCAGTGTGAGAGAACGGTTGCCTCCCATCCAGGGATTGAACCTGCAGCCTAGGTATGTGCCCTGACCCGAAATTGGATGCACCGCTTCCTGGCCTATGAGATGATGCTCCAACCAACTGAGCCACACTGGCCAGGGCTGGAGAGGATTTTTAAAAGTAAATTTATTCCTCACTTCCTGACCTTTTTCTGTACTTTGGAGAGAAGTCTGTGGTAATTGGTCCCCTGCAGGGATAAAAGCAGCAATTGTAGTTTACATCATGCCGACCCAGAGCTCGGCTCGGGCACCCTGGTCAGAGCTTTGCCGAGTTCTCCGACAGGCTTTGCTGCTGCTAACTCCTTCGTTCTTACTCCCTCCTCCAGGCAGCAATGAAGTGATGCGGATGCTGATCTCGAGAAGCCTGCTTCAGGAGTAGCACCTGGACCTGCTGCTCCGGCGCCAGGTTGAATGTGCCCTTGGATTAGTGTTGACTGGCTCCGGTGGGCAGGTCTGTCACAGATGAGTCGTGGTGAGGCGGAAGGACTGGGCTCCTCCAGGAGGACTCTCAGTGTCGGCAGCAGTGGCAGCAGTCGGCTGGAGCAGTCTCCAGAGGCTGGAGGAGCTGCCTTGGTTAGGGCGTTGCGAGGACACTACCTTGTTTCCTAAATCAGTAGGTGACTGGTGAAGACGCATCACCAGACCGTAGTACTCTCTGGATCCACATCGTCCTGATCTGCCTGCGTTTTGCTGATTCACCGGGTCCTCCTCTGGGGAATTGGGTACTTTGTAGAGGGCTTTTCTATTTATAAAGTACAGGGTGGGGAAGGAAAAATGGAGAAAAGTGGCCTGTCTTTTTCTGTCCTCTGCACCTCAGCTAAAGGCTCAGAAGGTGTCTGGGACACACTTCCTTCATAGCGCCTCTGAGGACATGCTGATGAGATGAATAGTAGGAGAACTTGGCTCCTAAGCTGTGATTCAGGGTGTGTCTCGACGCCGCCCTACCTGAATATCAAGGCCTGTGGTTGGAACTTTGAATATTTGTTGTTTTTCTTTTTTAAGAAGCACGTGGCCTGGGAATGGTATTCAAAGTTTCTATAACCCTTTCTAGTAAGTGCTTTGAGTATATTTTTCTATCTGCGTTTCTGTTTTCCTTTTTGAAGCTGCGCCTCTTTTTAAATGTTTCGATTGATAAATAAAACCTACCCCTTTCTGAACCATCTCGAGTTCCACTAACGTTGATTTTTATTCTAGCTCTCTAAGCCTTTACAACTCGTTTTTTTTGTTTGTTTGTTTGTTTTTTAATATATCTTTATTGATTTCAGAGAGGAAAGGAGAGGGGGAGAGAGAGATAGAAACATCAATGATGAGAGAGTCATTGATTGAGTCCGCAACCTGGGCATGTGCCCTGAACGGGAATCGAACCCCCATCGCCTGGATCCTAGGTTGATGCTCAACCGCTGAGCCACATTCGGCTGGGCAGAACTAGTTTTAAGTTTTTTATTATATTTAATTAAACATTTAACTAGATTTTGGAATAATAATAATAAAAAAATTTCTCCTTGATCTAATTGGCTTTTAAAAAATAGTCCTCTTGCCCAGGCTGGTGTGGCTCGGTTGGACCTTGTCCTGTACACCAAAAGGTTGAGGGTTCGATTCCNCTCCTTGATCTAATTGGCTTTTAAAAAATAGTCCTCTTGCCCAGGCTGGTGTGGCTCGGTTGGACCTTGTCCTGTACACCAAAAGGTTGAGGGTTCGTGGTCAGGGCACATACTCAGGCTGCAGGTTTGATCCCTGGTCAGGGCTCTCGCGGGAGGCAACTGATCGATGTTTCTCTCTCACATCGATGTTTTTCTCTCTCTTCCTCTCCCTTCCTGTCTCTCTAAAACCAATAAAAGCATGTCCTCAGGTAAGGATTAAAAAAGTTTACTTAAATTACTAATAACTTTGCAAACTAAACATTGTTTACAATTTATGAAAGTAGATTTAAAATAATATTCAAAGATGGAGACTTTTCAGAGAACCTTGTTAGAAATGGGCATTACGTTATTCCACCCCCTCACTTCTATGGAAAAAAGTATCCAAGATATTTTGTTAACTACAAGTCTGGGTTTAGAGAGACCAAACTATACATCTTTAGCTACGACGAATGTTTTATTTTTTGAATGCATGTTTTCTGTAAGGAACTGTGTTTGGCACTGCAGGGGGACAGGGTGTGGGTGGACTGCAAACTTTAAAATAATTTTCTGCCTTCAAAGGCCTCATTTGATAGCTGTAGTTCAAGGTAATGATAGGTACAGAAGAGAGAGGGTGAGCTGAGAAAAGTGATAAAATAGGAAGGGATTCATGGAGATAAGAATTCAAATTAAGCTTTTATGAAAAGAGAGCCAAGAAAGTTGGTTCAGACAGGAAAGAACCAGGATCAGGAAAAGTGAGTTTATGTGGGAGCTGCTGGCACTCTTGTTTAATTGTGCTTTGGAGTTGGCGTGGAAAGAAAGATGTAAGTAGATTCTGGAGGGAGTTATGAAAGCCAAGGTTTGGGTTTTATTTTGTAAGCAGTGGAGAGCTACAGAAAGTTTTTAATGAGGAAGATATGAGATTAATCCCTAAGAACATTCTGGAATGCATATGTGGGATGAATGTGAGTGGGGAAAGGCATACCCAGTCAATAGGTTCTTGAAGTAGTCAAGATGTGAGGCAGTTTGAGCCTGAATTTTGAAGGTGAAAGGAAAGTAGGTGTGAGCAAAAGTAGGCCACGCTTGGAATGCCCACCATGGAACTTGAGGGCCTCCCTAGTAACGGGGCTGCTGTCTGGCATCCAGTTCTGAGAGGCTCCTGCTCTGACCTGAAGCAAAAACAGGTGTTATGTTGTCTTACTGTTTATGCCCCTACTAAGAGGCTGCTGAAATGCTTGTTATGACAGATGCGTTCCGCACCTTCACCCTCAGCTCTTACTCAGAATCCGGTTTCCCAGCAGCCTGACAAGGGATTTGGCCTCTGCATTGAGAACAGTGAACAGGAAATTAAACTATCGTTCATTTGGCTGTTCCAAAAACAAAACCAAAAGAAGCAGAACAAACGTGTTAAGGAAAACATCTGGGGCAAGTTCTGTATTAGGTGTGCACTGTGTACAGACGTAGGGTCAAGCGAGGATATAGCCCAATCCCCCAGTCAGTGGAAAGGTGTGCACCCTGCCAGCGGCCATGAGGAGCAGAGCAGCACAGCACAGCCCCAAGTGTTTCCCACGTCCTTGATGGCTAACAAGCTTCGCCAGGCTCGCTCTCTGTCCTTGGCCTGTACGCAGGCCTTTCCCAGCACAGCTCCTTCCCTTGCCCTCTCCCCTCTGCTAGATAAGCCCCTAGCCTACCCTGGCCATCTCCCCTCTGGCCCCCATGTGGATTTTTCAGACTGACAAGAAAAGAACAGCATGGCTCTCCTGGGGTTGAAGCTCTTACAGTACATCTTGTGAACACAACATCTTCACCTGGATGGACCTTGGGACAGAAGGCTGGTAGCTAGGAAAGGATTTCCGGATGTGGCAGCAGGGACAATTGCCTGCACAGAGTGCTCCGGGCGCAAGGAGTGAATGGTCGAGACATGACAACCTTCGTCAAAGTTGGATTTCCAGGTTGTCTGAACTCTTCAATATCTCTTCAAACCACCTCCCTTCATAATACTATCACGGTTAAAGGGAAAATCTAACTGCTCTAATTACATGTATATTTAAACAGAAGAATGTTTAGGACCTGTTAACAATTTCCTCTTCATTCTTTGTAGACTTGATAAATTAAGCACGTACCTTATTTAGCCCGGCCAGTGTGGCTCAGTGGTTGAGCGTCGACCTAGGATCCAGGAGATGGCGGTTTGATTCCCCATCAAGGCACATGCCCGGGTTGCTGGCTCGATCCCCAGAAGAGGGCGTGCAGGAGGCAGCTGATCAGTGACCCTCTCATCATTGATGTTTCTCTCTCCCTCTCCCTTCCTCTCTCTGAAATCAAAGATATATTTAAAAACTAAATAAAACTACCTTATTCACTGATTTGCTTCAGTGCTTATCTGGATATTCTTTTATTGTAAAAACATAGGACTTCTCCCAAGCACTTTCCTGTAAGTTACCCTATATATCTCTTGATTTTCACAAGGGAGCCCTTCCTGAATAGGCACTAGAGGCATTTGTTGTGTTAAACTCATTTGAATTGAATTGAGCAATAACCCTGTTGAAAAGAGCAGCTGCCACAGCTGCTGTTAGGTGGAGACTGGCCTCTGGGTTCAGACTCCTGTATCCACTTTTGATTGCCAGCTTTGCCACTGCGTGACTCTAAGCAAAGTCACTTAAACTCTCTTTGGCTGTTTCCTCATATATAAATTGAAGATAAACTTTCTGCCTCATAGAATAGTTGATGAATCAAGTGAAAAAATACATATTAAGGTCTCAGAACAGAGTTCATTGAGCACTCTCAAATATCAGTCCATATTACCAATCTCATTTTATAGATGAGCATAGTGAGCAGGTGTCAGGCTGACATCTGAAGACCTCTTCCAAGAACCTTTAAAATATTTAAGATCATGACTAATTTTTGGTCTGCTCTCCCAGGAAAGTGGCAGGGCTGTACTTCCCTTTTGCCAACTTCACAAACATACAAGCACATAAACACTGCAAAGTTTTCTCCCAGGAGCTTAAGCTTAGCTTCACTGTAAATTTCCCGTTGCTTGCCCTCTGCTTTATCTGACATTTCTGTACATGTTCCCCTCCTCCAGAATCTGTTTTCCCTTCGGCACTCATTCGTGGGAATCATGTCCCACCAAACCGCATGAACGAATGCTGTCCAGGCAAGGTTGGCTGCCAGAGCGCTCTGATAGAACAGGACGGTCCCTGTCCCCATGTCAAAAGTCCCAATTCATAACTCCCACAGGAAGGAAGAGAAGAGGGATTCAGAGAGTAGAGTGGGAGACCCAACAGACAAGCCTTTCCGACCAAAAGTCAAATCCCAGGGGCTTGGTGACCAGTGACAAGTAGTGGAGGAGACAGGAGAATGAACCAGGACAGACAGAATGCTCTTTCATTGCTTGGAATGGAGCAAACCCATCACTTCAGGCAGGGCCCCGAAAGCTCCCGCCTGGCCCGGCTGAATCCCGTCTCATTTATTTGTGAGGGTGATGCTATGTGTGCACCTGGTTCCTTTTCTTTTTCTCTCTTTTCTCTTTCCACCCAGTTTCCTGATCCACAGCCCGGGACCCCCAGCCCAGTGAGGGAGCCTGAACACTCCTGGCTGCCAGCACAGACAGACAGGAAGTTAGCTGCTCAAGGCACTGGTGAGCCCACAGCGCGGAACGAGGCGGTCTGTCCCCTTCACCCAGATACCTGGGAAAGTGTACTTTGAGCCGTAGTGCTTTGGAAAAGTGGGGCGTGGGTTTATTTCCAGGGCAGTTCCATTCAGCTTTGGTTTGCTCCCCCCAACTTTCATATGGGCATTACGGTTTTCTCAAGTTTTTTAAAGAGCTGTAGAAACAGTACTTCAAGACAGCCCACTAGTTACCATCCCTAACCCTCACCCATAAAACCCTGGGCAGATCACAGTGTCTGGCCTTTCTACAGAAAACCTGGAAGTATCACTTTCCCATTTCGTCTATAAACCAAGGTATAGGTGTAGGATTGAGCCAGGATATAGCCCAATCCCGCTCCAGTCAGTGGGAAGGTGTCTGCCTGAGCAGCGGCCCTGAGGAGCAGAGCAGCACAGACCTAAGTGTTCCCCACGTTCTTGACGGCTAGCAAGCCTCGCCAAGCTCTCTGTCCTTGGCCTGCATGCAGGCCTTTGCCAGCACAGCTCCCTCCCTCTCCCTCTCCCCTCTGCTAGATAAGACCCTAGGCTACCCTGACCCAGTGAGCAAACTCATCTGATGGCACAGAAGGCAAACTCAGAAGGTTGTGTACTGTGTGATCCCATTTACATAGCATTCTTGAAAACAGAAGAGATGAAAAACTGGTTAGTGGTTGCCAGGGATTAGCCTGGGGGAGAAAGAGTGTCTATAAAGTGGTAGCATAGGGGGCTTGTGGTAAAGGAACAGCTCTGCATCGTGATTGTGGTGGTGGCCACACCAAGCCATTCATGTAATACAGTTGCATAGAACTGTAGACACAGACGTGTGCAAATGAGTGTGTGTGTAGCTAGTGACTACACTAATGTCATCTCATGGCACTGATATTGTACGCTGATATTAGC